ATTAGTTTTGGCTGTTTTCAGTCTAGATATAAAGAGAAATGATCTTTTAAGCCCTTCTTCTCTTAACCCCTTCCCCATAAACAGGCACACACATCCCTTCACACAGGTGTTTCAGCTACTTTTGAAGTCCTTCCTTAATGAAAGATACCTCTATTATGAGAATGGATGTACTGACGTGTGAATAACTTGTCCTGTTGAATTTTAACCCTCTTTTGGAAGCTCAATCCTTTTCTACATTTAAGTTAATACCTATAACTGAAAAAAAATATTTTGTAGCAATGGTCTTCCTTTCCTATTGAGAGAACCTAAAATTTTCTGATTTTTTACAGCCTTGATGTTCTCCATATAAGAAAAATGCAAGAGAAAACCTTGAAATGAAATCACAGAACATAAACTAGGGTCTTATATTAGATTACAAGCCATCTGTTTTCTCAAAATAAAAGCATTAAAATGTTATGTCATTAGTATCATAGTTTGTCAATGCCATCTGATTATTACTTTTTCTCCTCTTATTTTATTCTCCTTCTCCTTCCCCTATTTATTACTTTTTTTAATTCCCATCTCCAGTGTGACTTTCTTCTGAACTCAAAAACTCATCTAACTATGAAAACATGATCAGTTAACCGTGTACTGACGTTTTTATTCTAATAAAGATTTATCTTCATCTTGAAAGTACTTAAGAATGTTTGAATAACTAGATTTAACCCTGTGGCAAAATGCAAAATATTAACTTATTAGGCCAGGGTTAAAGAAAGATTGGGAATTAATTTTTCACCTTTGTTTCAGTATTGTGGATATAGTAAGAACATTATTTCACGTCAGCAGTTATTCATATCTTGTTATTACTTCATAGTGCAGGATTAAGGAAATCTGTACACATAAAATTATAGTTTAGTTAGTGTTAAAGGAAAAAACTGAAACAATAAGTTGTACTCTTTGTTGCCACACAGCATATGTAGTATTTTATGTTTGAGAGAACGTGGCCATGGTGTCATCCAAAATCAATAGTGTATCAACGCTCCCTTGATTTAGTGAAGGTTCTGCTACCTGGTACTACAGTCAGGTTGCTCCGCTATTGCTTCCTATCTTACTTTACAGCCTCTTTCATTCTATGCCTATTTAATTTCACTCATTGCTTTATTCCTGTGTCCTTCAGCTGTTTCCAATCTGCCCTTCATGGCCATGACTAATACAATATGTTAACATACAAAGGTATGTTAACATACAAGGTATGTAAATGAAAATCAATGCACTTGTCATTTCAGCACAATTCCTTATTGCTCACATTGAACATTTTAAATGTATTTTATTTAAACACTAATAACTTTCATTCTTGCCTTGGAAGTCTAATGATCTTCTTGGCTCCCTGCCCCTGCAGCCCTCTAATCTTCACAGCCGTGGCCACTTAGCCCCCATCTGGAGGTTCAGGCTTATTCTGCATTTTGGAGCTAATCTTGTCCCTATGCTGGGGGTATACAAGATATCGTAGCCAAAAGCTAACTGATTTAGCATTCAGACAGCTTTGCTGCTGGTTTCATTCTGACCTTGTAATTTATTTCTCAGATGTAGGCTATGCTTCTCCCAGCCACTTGTAACCAAGGTTTGACTTTGTATACCAGTTCCAGTATCTATCCAGGCTCTCCTATTTCAGTTCTTGATGAGGTTTTCTGATTGACACCAATTTCTCCATGACTGAGGTTCTGCTTTGTCCTTCTCCTTGTCTCATTTGTAACTGAACTTATTTTCTGAATTACAGTTGCTATGGCTGGGCCCTGTAGACAACTGCTAAGCCTTTCTGGTGTCACTACCCTTGCCCGTATCTCTTCATACTGCCTTCATATCATGGATCTGAACTTCTGCAAGAATACCAGGATTAACCCCTTGCTTGCTTGGATGCTTTCCCACTTCCAGCTGCAAATATCTACCTAGACCAGCTCTAACCTTGCAGGCCTTGGAGAGTCAGTGCAAACATGCTGCCTGCAATCTGGCCATCTCATTGTCTAGACATGATAGCAAAGACATATTGTTTCCATTGCATCTTTGGTTGAATTGTTATGCTAACACCCTTTAGTTACTTTCACCTCCTGTCTTCATCTTGGTCCTGCCACTTTAACACTTTAAAACTCAGTTTTCTCTTTTTAAAGTAAAATAATAATGGAATCTACCTCCTATGGCTATTTTGAAGATAGCTGAGAAAAAAAAAGTATACAAATGGTACAAATGGATAAAACCCATTGTAAGCAACTAATAATTTTTAGCTGCTCTTATAAGTTCATGTCTTAAATATCTGTACTTGGAAAGTGGAGCTATACCACTTAAAGAATGATCATTAAAAAGATAAGGAACTAGGAAAATTAAAATTCTTAAAAAAAGAGACTCATGTACATTTTTTTTAAGTGAAATAATTTACAAGAAGACAGCTTGAAAAAATGATGCTGAAACACAGATGCAGTCACCAACAAACGTTAGAAACAAAATATTTTAAGGATACATTTCCTATTTGTGTGTCTTGATCTTATGACTACAGAAGAGCCCTAAAGCATTTAGGAAGGAGAAAGAGTCTTTGAATTAGTAATTTATTTTAGAGTAGTATTTCCATAATCACCTGGGGGACTTGTAGAAAACTAAAATTTTAAGCCCCGCTTCTCGGAAATTCTGATTCATTAATTTTGGGGCAGAACTAAATAACTGGTATGTTTAAAAAAATTCTCATAGTACCTCTGGCAATCTCTCAGTTTTGGGAACCACAAATTCATCAGACATTAAGGTACCTGGGATGTTTTTTAAAAATCATAACATTTGTTGGCCAGGCGTGGTGACTCACACCTGTAATCCCAGCACTTTGGGAGGCCGAGGTGGGCAAATCACCTGAGGTCAGGAGTTTGAGACCAGTCTGACCAACATGATGAAATCCTGTCTCTACTAAAAATACAAAAATTAGCCAGGCATGGTGGTGCGCACCTGTAATCCTAGCTACTTGGGAAGCTGAGACAGGAGAATCTCTTGAACCCGGGAGGCGGAACTTGCAGTGAGTTGAGATCGCGCCACTGCACTCTAGCCTGGGCGACAGAGTGAGACTCTGTCTCAAAAAAAAAACACAAAAAAACAAAAAAAAAAAAAGAAAGAAAATGAGACGCTGTCTCAATAAAAAACATACATTTGTTTACCTCAAGATGGTCAAACCAGTGCATAGACTCTCTCACTTGGCTCCTAGCTGCCCACTGGCTAGAAGTGTTTGACAGGTATGAAAACTCTACTGCTGTCTGATTTTACTAATAGATGTTTATTTCACTTAGCTATTCAAAGGCAGTGTTTACTTGTAAGTACGTAGTTTACCCTAAGAACCACCGTTTACTCAGATAGAATCTTCACTTGAAAAATATTTTAAGTGCAGACTGTTTTACTACTGCCAAATAATCTTGTCTTAATTTTTTTTCTTCATTTTCCTTCGATGAATTTTCCCCTTACTCATAAAAGTTTGATCAAAATGATGGTTAACTGCTCTAGGCAAGCACAGTCTGCATACTGGAGAAAATAAAAAGCAGCCAGATGTTTTCCTGAAAAGGGTGAGGTATATGTAAAAAAGAAAAAGAGATAAATAATAGTAATAATAATAATAATAGGAAGAAGATGAAGACAAAGGAGAAGGAAAAGAGGAAGAGGAGGAAGACAGGGAGGGAAAAGAGGAGGAGGAGAAGACGAGAAAGTGGAAGAAGAAGAAGAGGAAGAGGAGGAGGTGAGGAGCAGAAGAGAGAAGAGGAAAGGAATAAAAAAGAGGCTGCTTCTTTTCACTATCATGACACAAAGAACCCCTGAGAAGTTTGAGTTATTCACTTTTCAACGTGCTTAAGGTGGGACCAATATAGTAGAAGGCTAAAATGTTGGCACCCTTTCAAAATAATAAGTATGATTCCTTATTTGATGAACATATCTTTATAAGAGTAGTTACTCCATCATCTTAGAAGTCAGATTAGCAACTGGTATGATCTGAATGTTGGTGTCCCCCTCCCCAGATTCATATGGTGAAATCCTAACCTCCAAAATGATAGTATTGGGAGGTAGGACCTTTGGGAGGCGATTAGATTATGGGGGTGGAGACTTCATGAATGGGATTAGTGCCCTTATAAAACAGGCTCCAGAGACCTCCCTTGCCCTTTTTGCCATGTGAAGCTTCAGTAAGAAGAAGGTTATTTTAAGAGAAAGTGAGCTCTTATCAGACATTAAATCTGCCTTGATCTTGGACTTCTCAGCCTTCAGAATGGTGAGAAATAAATTTCTTTTGTTTATAAGCTACCCAGTTTATGGTATTTTGTTATAGAAACCCAAACAGACTAACTCTGATCATCTATTGCCTCCTGATGATGCCTTTTAAATATCTTGAGATAAAGTCTCACTCTGTGGCCCAGGCTGGAATGCAATGGCATGATCACAGCTCACTGTAGCCTCAACCTCCTGTGCTCAAGTGATCCTCCCACCTCAGCCTCCTGAGTAGCTGGGACTACAGGCTAGTGCGACCATACCCAGCTAATTAATTTTTTTTTTTTTTGTAGAGATATGGGTCTCTCTTTGTGCCCAGGCTGATCTCAAACTCCTGGCCTCAAGCGATCCTCCTGCCTTGGCCTCCCAAAGTGCTAGGAGTACAGGCCTGAACCATCACAGCCAGTCCTGATGATACCTTTTCAAAGACATTCTAGTAAATAAGACTTTTTTTTCCCCTCTATATCCTAACATTGACAGTTTTGGGAGGATTCAATGATATTTTAGTGTACCTTATCAAGTAATGCCATGGATAGCTGCTTGGCTGGCCCACCTCTTAATCCAGTTCCAGAAATTCCTTGCTGTTATTACAGCCCTTATTTATTTATTTATTTTTTCACTTGGGAACTGAATAAGAAAATAAAAATGCAGACAATGTCTTCTGTTGCAGAATGGTTGATGGCGTTAAAAAGAAATTAATCACTGTCATTATTTTGTCTAAAAGAATAAAAACAGCATATTACCAGACGTCCTCGGCATCTTCATCACATTCTGCACCAAACTGGCAAATATCACAGGTGGATGTCTCCTTTTGACTAGTTTCTCCAGAGCCTTCATGGACTGTAGGACAGAAAAAGTAAAACGAATTCAGATAATTGTGCATTATATCTACAACCCCAGGACAATTCTGTATTAAAGCTGTTACTTTCCCAATGAACCTGTCTGCTATTGAAGCTTCGTAAGAATGTCATAAGCAACTCTTTTCTTCCTCCAATTTAAAGACAACTCTAACAATAATATGCTTCCCATTGGTATGTGGTGAACACGTTTGCATTTTGCATGCTAAATAAAACAACAAACATGTGAGTTTACTGTATTCATCAAAATTATTTCCCTAATAAATAGACCATATGAAAGAGTTATTTAGTTAACAGGGAGTTAAATTTTCACCTCTCTGGGGGAAAGATCTACTGTCTATTTTACTGAAACGTATTTAGAATTTTCTTATTTCCAGATTATGGACCTTTTGGTCCAAAGAAAGTTTTCATGTATAATTTTTAAAAATTTCGATGAGCATCCCTGATTTATTAGATATGCCCACATTTTTTCCCTCAAACAGTTAAGTACTTACAAGAAAAAATATGTTGATTATAAGTTTTTATAAAATAGCTTTTAGTTGTTTTTTACTGTCATTTATTGAATCTCACATAAGTATTGCATAAAGCTAATCACAGTGATTCCTTGTTAGAGGGTTATGAACATATATTTTATTTTAAAAAATACATTGAGTCACTGTTTAGTCACTGATGATGATGATGATTGATATTGGTTCTTTTTCCCTCTAAATGACAAGTACAAAAACGGGCAATACATCACCCAATTATAAAGTTAGCTTTTCAAAATCAGGATACAACAGTGTAAATTGAGAAAAAATTTCTGGTATTTGAGTGCAAGGAATGAGCAACACTTTCAAGGTGAATTACCTCTTTTCCCAGTTAAAAATATATTGTTGAAAGAAAAAGTAGTTTTATTTTAAAATGAAAAATTGCAATCAACTAACTATTGCATACACAGATCATATACACTTAAAAACAGATGTTTAAATCAAGGGAATCTTTAAGAAGTGCACTTCTGCAAAAGATAACATATTTTAAACAGAAAAAGAACATAAGCAATGAATCCCAGCATTAGTTCCTGTCCTTATGAACATTTTAAATAACAAAGACAATTTATTAACATGCACCTTGAACCTGTCAAATCCAGTCTTACTTACTTTGTTTTAATATGTTATTTTCTCTTCATTTCTTCTTTGATTATTAACAAGAGTTTTTAATACTTATAAAATCAAAGATCTTTAGTTTTCTTTAATCTACTGCTGTTCAGATGAGTAATTTGATTTACTCAAAAAAGGACAAGAAGACATCCCTAGGAGAGTTATCTGTTTTGTAACTCTTCCAAGAAAGGTGGAGGGATTTATTTTTTCTAAAACATTTTTTTCCTGTGCTTGATAGTCAACACTTACATTTTTAAAACAGTATGAAGCAAATAGGTCAATTTCAATTGCAAAAGTATTGATGGTATAGTTTGCAATTTGGATGTCTTAAGAAAAAAAACGTGTCCTCCCCAACAGGAAGAAGGAATTTTAGACTCTGATAAAATAAACAGCACTTATCTTATTATCCACTCTACTACTTTAATATAGGCAAGACCATTAGAGTGGACCATGGGGATAAGAGGGAAGCTGGGGCCTCATCTCAGGGGAGACTGAACAGCTGAGGTCCGTCTCTGTATTACTTTCTTATTATTAATGCAACACAGAAGCTGCTAATGGGAGAAAGCCTTTTAGTGTTAGCAAGATTAGCAACTTCCAGACTAAAACTTCCCATTACTCAGGAAAGATACGAACACAATGGCAAGGACCTTAATGAACAGTGATGGCCACTTAGAGACAGCCCCATTTTCTTCAGCAGTTGAGATCTTTGGTAAGGGATCGACTGGAGGTCATCCAGGGATAAATTTTGCTATCTCAGCAGGACTAATAATATTTCTACCAGAAGTCACATTACATTTCTATAAAAGGGCAATTATTGGTAAAATGGAGATGTTTGGAAATTCTCCGATAAGGAGAAGTACATTCAAAAGAAGCAGTGGGAATACCCCCATCAATAAGTATTGTGTGAATAAAGTGCCTTTCTATGAAGTCACCCACAAAGAAATATAAAATAAAATCTTTCCACATTACTGGAAACATAGGTTTGTGCCTTTGTATAATAGTAAACAAACAAACGACTTAATCAGTGCTCAACTTTCATTTCACTTTTTATACCAGTGGTTCTTAAACAGGATCTGATTCAGAGGCTTTCGTGGATCTTGTTTGTTAATATGTTTTTTTTTTCTTTTTTTTAAATAAAAATGCCCTGAGATATCCTTGGAGATACTGAATTGGACTTAGCTGGGGGCTTGAATATGCCTGTTCTGAATACAGACTATCTCCGAGGAAGAATCTCTGCCTTAAACAATACCAAGAAGGCTTCATCTGTCCAGAGCACCCTCCTCAGGCATCAACTAGCACAGGGCTTCTGGTGCTTTAAAGCGCACAGGAAGCACCTGGAGGTTTAGTTAAAATGCAGATTCTGATTCATTAGGTGCAAGGTATGGTCTCAGGTTCTGTATTTCTTAAAGTCCCCAGATGCTGCTGCTGTTGGTCCATAGACCACATGTTGAGTAGAAAGAATAGCACTGTGTTTTTCAAACCACAGTTCACAACGTTTTAGCAGGTAGTGAAATTAATGCATCATGACTTGCATTTCTGTAAACATGAAACACACTATACTAGTCTAGTAAATACTAGACTGCATCTTATTTAGCAAGTACATGTTTTATTTTATAACACTGCTTTAGTTATACATATCTACTTACATACAGGGTTGCAATATAAATTGCAATTCTTACTAAAGGTCACAGTAACAAAAGCTTGAAAACCACTGATTTAGTACACGTTACACTCTCAGTAAATGTGTGTTAAATTGGACTGCTACTTCCTTCTCTTCTTTCTATATTACCAGTAACAGGAAAGATCAGTGCTTATTTGCATCCATACACTGATTAGGAATAAAATTCATTTATCTTAAAGTATTATCTTAATCACGCATTTATATTTTAAGCTCTTTTATTTTGAGTTGCAAAGTAAGATAATTATTTCCCATTATTTTATAGAAACTTAGGTTTTGGCAAATGATTGAGGGAAATTTGAGGGGTGAGGGAGGTGGAGCTACTGAAAGCACATTATCCCTAATATTCTGCCCTTCCATTAAAACGTATTTAATCATTTTATGGAGGTTTGGAAGCGGAGGGATTACAAGAAATGATTGAGTTACTTCTCTCTCAAATCTCTCTGCCCTGGTAATTTCTTCTGAAGGTTGAATTCCATCACCACCCTGTTCTTCTTGCTGGTCATACATGATGATGAACCCAGTTCTCACTATCATGCTTCTTGTGACTTATAATATTCTTAACCTGTCATACCATTTCTGAAAACAGTGAACTCTAATGTTCAAACACGGGTAAGCATTGTAATTCACTTTGTTAAAAATGCAATTAAAATTGAAATTCAGCGAAATGCAGTCATCTTTCCATATCTGCTCATTCCTCATTCACAAATCCAGCCAATCTTGAATCAAAATATTCAGAAAAAAATACAAAATAACAATGCAGAAATACAAATAATAAAAAATAAAAATATAGTATAACAAATTTTTACACAGCATTTATGTTGTATTAAGTATTCCAAGTAATCTAGAGATGATTTAAATTATATGTGAGGATGTGCATAGGATATACCACTTTAATATCATCAGGGACTTGAGCATCCACAAATTTTGGTATACTGTGGGGAGGGTGGGTCCTGGACCCAATCCCCTGAGAAGACTGAAGGATGACCATACACAGATCTTAAGGGTACCTGATATGGTTTGGATATTTATCCTCTATGAATCTCATGTTGAGATGTAATCCTCAACGTTGGAGGTACGGGTTGGTAGGAAGCGTTTGCATCATGGGGGTGGATCCCTTATGAATGGCTTAGGACCATACCCTTGGTGATGAGGCAATTTCCACTCAGTTAGTTCACATGAGATCTGCTTGTTTAAGAGTCTGGTGAGATCTGCTTGTTTAAGAGTCTGGAACCTCTTCATTCTCTCTCTTGCTGCCTGTCTCGCCACATGACACACCTGCTGCCACTATGCATTCTGTCATGAGTAAAAAGCTCCCTGAGGCCTCACTGGAAGCAGATGCCGGCACTATGCTTCTCATACAGCCTGCAGAACCATGAGCCAAAATAAACTTTTTTCCCTTATAAATCATCCAACCTTAGGTATTCCTTTAGAGCAATGCAAATGGACTAACTCAGTAGCCTTTAATTAGTGTTGAGAAGTGCATATAAAGACACACAGAACAACTCTATCATCCCAGAAAGTTCCCTGGTTACCCTTCCCAGGCAATGCCCTACCACTACCCTGTCTATATATGGGTAGATCTCTATCACCACAGATTAGTTTTAACTATTCTAGAACATCATATCAGTGGAATAACTCAATATGTAGTTTTTGTGTCAAGTTTCTTTCACTCAAAATAATAACTTTTGAAATTAATTCAGGTAGTTGCATGTATCAATAGTTTATATCTTTTTATTGCTTAGTATTCCACTGAATGAGACACTGCAGGTTATTTATTCACTCTCCTGTTGAAGGATATCTGGGTTGTTTTCAGTTATTGACTGAAAATTATAATTGAGTATTTATGAATAAAGCTGCCGTACAAATCCTTGTAAAAGACTTTGTGTACACATATGTTTTTATTTCTCTTGAATAAATAACTAGCAGCAGGATTACTGAATCTTAAGGCAAAAATTATTGTTGTTGGTGGTTTTTAAATTCTCCACCTGCAGGAATGTTTAATATCTTTTGGGTACAAACCTGTTGTCAGATATCTGTGTTGCAATATTTTTCTTGGTCTATTTTGTTGACAGTGCTAACCTTGCATTCCTGGGAAAAGTCAAACTTGATCTTTGTATATTAACTTTTTAATATATTGCTGGATTTCATTTGCTAATATTTTGTAGA